AAATGAAGATTAGAGTTAAGTATTCCCCCTTAGCATTAGTGACCCCCAGTCTGGCAGTATATATGAAGGAAGGGAAAATGGGGAGGTGAGATGGGAGCTTTCCTTCTGTCTACTTCGGTAGGGGGTGGGACTCCTCACATGACCCGTCACTTAAATACTGTAATCCTACTCAATTTAGTAACCTAATGGCAAAAAACCGTATTTTTAAATACTAAACTTAGTAATAACCATATACTTACTTACTTACTTTTTATGTTGGAGCTCCTCTTGAGCTGTTTGGCTGTGTGGAGGGAGTTGGTCTGGGTTAAGAACATAAGAACATAAGAATGGAGGAAAGTGCAGCAGGCCTATTGGCCCATACTGGGCAGTCCCATTTACACCCAAACCCTATTGCTCATATAAGCATCCAACCTATGTTTGAAGCTATTCAGCGTATTCGAGTTAATGATGATATTTGGTAACTTGTTCCATTCATCCACAACTCTGTTTCCAAACCAGTGTTTACCTATTTCGCGCCTAAATCTAAATTTGTCTAATTTAAAACCATTGTTACGAGTTCGCTCCTGGTTGGACAGTTTGAGTACCTTTGTAATGTCCTCTTTGTTTAGCCCTGACTTCCATTTATACGCCTCTATCAACTCGCTCTACGTCTCTCGAGGGAGTGCAAATTAAGTTGCTTTAACCTGTTTCTATACTCAAGGCTCCTAATGCTCGGGATTAGTCTTGTCATTCTCCTCTGAATTCTTTCAAGGATTCTATATACATTCTGTAATACGGTCACCAGAACTGAACAGCGAAATCCAGGTGAGGTCTCACAAGCGCAAGATATAATCGTAAGATGACCTCGCTAGTCTTGTAACTAACACTCCTTTGTATGAACCCAAGTACTTTATTAGCCTTGTTACGAGCAAAAACACATTGTTTACTTGGCTTAAGGTTCCTACTAATCATTACTCCTAAATCTCTCTCACAGTCGGATTTCTCTATGGCATCGTTGTTCATCTGGTATCTGGTTTCCCTGTTTACATCTCCTATGCTTAGTACTTTACATTTGTCCACGTTGAATTTCATCTGCCATTTTTCAGACCATTCGAAATATTTGTTTAGATCTTCCTGTAGTTTTGAGGAGTCCTCGTCAGATTTAATTACACGTCCTATTTTAGTGTCATCAGCAAATTTACTTATGTTGCTGTCCATGACGATATTTATGTCGTTTATGTATATAATATATAATAATGGTCCAAGTATTGAGCCTTGGGGAACTCCACTAGTGACATTCCTCCAATGGGATTTAGTGCCGTTAATGCTCACTCGATGTTTCCTGTCCTGTAACCACGCCCTAATCCATTTAAAGATATTACCTTTGATGCCATGTGCTTCTACCTTTCTAATTAGTCTTTCGTGGGGGACTCTGTCGAAGGCTTTGCTAAAGTCGAGATATACCACATCATAATTGTGCCCCTCGTCCACCGATTCGAAAACTGATGAAAAGAATGTTAATAGATTAGGTCAGGGGTTCTCAACCAGGGGGGAATTCCCCCCAGGGGGGAATTCAGGTTTTCAGGGGGGAAAACTGATTCGGGAGCAAGAGATATGTTCGATGAGAAATCAATCACAGAATTTTGGCCCTTGATGTGCGATTCCTACCCAAAAGTGGCAGAAAGAGCTATCCGTGCATTGCTTCCGTTTGTGTCGACATATCTTTGTGAGTCAGGCTTTTCAACTCTGTTGCAAATTAAAACGAAGCAACGTAGTAGATTAGAGGTAGAAAATGACCTGCGTTGTGCCCTTTCAAGCACTCCTCCGCGTATCCCAGAATTGGCGAAGAAAAAACAATCACAGGTTTCTCATTGACTGTAATCTTCATCTGAATAAAATTAATTACAAATTTACAATATCCTGGTATTCTATTGAACTTTTTGTTTATTGCATTATGCTTCAGTTTGGTCTGTTAAGTAATTCATTATAAATAAAAAAAAACTATTTTACTTTTATTCAAGTTTTATAAATCCATCAACATTTTCAATTGGCATTTAATTTGTAAAACTCCACTATAAAAATAATCCATGTAAAATTGTAAATGTATATGTACTAATATGGAAATAATAAATGATTTTCAGTATTATATGCATATTATTTGGAATGCACTTTTTGAGGCAGACAATCTTGGAAAGGAGGGGGGAATGACATTCTGACATATGGTGAAAGGGGTGCATGGGGCAAACAAGGTTGAGAACCACTGGATTAGGTAGACATGAACGCCCGCTTGTGAAGCCATGCTGGGAATCATTGATCAATTGGTGCTTCTCCAGGTGATTTCAATTAAAGTTTGAAATGGCTTCCAGTAATTTGCCAACTATTGATGTTAGACTAATTGAACGGTAGTTAGAGGATAGTGATCTATTCCCCTTCTTGAAAATCGGTATTACATTCGCTATCCTCCAGGATTCTGGTACTACACCTGTTTTTAAGGACATGTTAAACAACTTTGCTTAGAGCATACTAAGCTCTTCCTTACATTCCTTAAATACTCTGGCAAATATCTCATCGGGACCAGGTGACTTATTAGGCTTTAGTTTATCTATTTGCTTACTAACATCGTTACTAGTCACTACTATCTTGCTTAATTTGTTTTCTTCACTATCTCTGAATAGAGTCGGTGCCTCGGGTATCATGTTTAAATTTTCGGAGGTGAAAACTGTTGAAAAATATTTATTCAGATTATTGCTCATTTCTCTGTCGTTATAAGTTAGCTCGCCGGTATCTGGCTGTATTGGTCCAATCTTTTCTCGTGTTTTAGTTTGATACATTTGAAAGAATCCTTTGGGGTTTGTCTTCGCCTCCCTTGCTATTTTCACCTCATTATTCCTCTTTGCTTTCCTTATCTCGGTCTTAACCCTACTGGTCAATACCTTATAATAATCCCGGAGGTAAATTTCACCACGATTTATCCTTCTACCTATAGCCTTCCTGTTGGCCAATAATGTTCTTTAAATAATTATTTATCCATTTAGGGTCATTGTTGTCTGATCTGAGTTTTTTGTATGGTTTTTGTATGGTATGTTCTGCCTTTGTGCATTAAGTAACTCATTATTTAAATTGTCGTGGAACTCAGCAATCTCAGATCTCGTCATCAGGTCGGTTTCAACCGTCAGGTTCATGGGTGGGGTGAGGTCGGTGCAGTTCACCCCCAAGCGTGATACCCCTTCTCTCAACTGCCTCTTCAAACTATCAAAGTTTGCCCTTCTGAAATCTGGGACTTTTATGGAATTTTCCTTAAGTCTGCCCTGAAAATCTAACTGGAATCTAATTTTTTGTGATCCCTGTCTGCAAGTTCGTTCCCTACCTCGACATTGCTAATGAGGTTTTCTCTGTTCGACAGAACTAAATCTAGTATATTATTACCCCGGGTGGGTTCGGTTATATGTTGACTTAGGAAACAGTCCTGGATCATTTCGAGAAAATCCTCTGATTCTGAGTTACCCGTAAGGTCAATCCAATCTATTTGGCCAAGGTTAAAGTTGCCTGCTATACAGACTTTGTTGTGTATGGAAGCCCTGCACATTTCATCCCAGATAAGTCGCTCATTAACTCTATCAAGATTGGGAGGTCTATATATTACTCCTGTGATTAATTTTTCCCTACCGTCGATTAATTCTATCCAAATTGTTTCTGTATTCCGCCCAGTTTTTATTTCCTTATTCATTTCACACTTCAGATTATCCCTGACATAGATTGCTACTCCGCCTCCTTTCCTGGTATGGAATAATTTGTAACCTGCAATTTGGTATTCAACAGGTAACTCACGTGAGTCTAGGTTTATCCATGTTTCAGTGAATGCTATTATATCGATTTTTTCGGAACATACCAAGGCCCTAATATCATCCATTTTGTTTCTCATATTTCTACTGTTCGCATAGTAGACATTTAAGTTAGTCGTGTTCTGAGTCCTCTCTTTACCGCGTTTAGGTTTTAACTCCCTGTCTAATTTAGTTTTGTCATCATTCCTAACACTATTTCCCTGTAATCTTTCACTTTGTTTACCCGCTCCCACTGCAGTCTCCTCCACCCCCGTGCCCATATGTTCCCCTAGCAGTTTAAAGACATCGATATTTTTTGAACTGCCCCCTCTAGAGACCTAGCCAGGGTTGCCACCCCATCGCGAGAAAGGTGCACCCCATCCCTAGCATAAAGGTCCCTTCTGTCCTAGAAGTTGTCCCAGTTGTCAATGAATGGGACTGATATTGACTTGCAATATCTGTCAAGACTGCTGTTGACACCACTGCCCTTGACAAACATTCATAGCCAACTCTCCTTCTAGGCAGGACACCACATATGATAGGGATCCCTCCCTTAGTCCTAATACGATCTATAGCTGTCTTGAACTTATCAAGAAGCTCCTCGCTCCTACACTGGCCAGTATCATTGCCTCCTGCACTGAGGCAGATAATGGGTTTGTTCCCATTACCAGACAAGATATTGTCCATCCTGTCAACTATAACCCCCACCCCAGCTCCTGGCAAACGCACCATCATCCTATTTTTATTTTTACCACAAAAGGCTCTGTCCAAGTACCGTACCTGTGAGTCGCCAACAATTAATGTTTTTGTACCTCCCTTGTCAGCCCTGTCCCTGACTGTACTAACGTCCAATTCGTCTATCAAGGGACTGAACGAGTTAGTACACTTAGCTGTTGTTGTCGTTGTTGTCGTATCCTTGTGCAAGAGCAGCAGCAACACTACTCTCACTACTACTTCTGAACCACCGAGGCCATCCTTAAAGACGGGAATTTTCTTCTCTCCCTTATACTTATCTCATACTTCTCCCTGTCTTATTTCCTTCAATTGTTCTGTCTACATAGTTCAGTTCATGGTTACTACATAACCTTAGTTCTTTTGGTAGCATGGCGAGGGAAGGCACATGGGTATTGTAATTCTGGTATCAAGGTCACTTGGACAGAATAAAGGCAAATACTGAGGTGAAATGAATACCCCCTAATATACTCTAAGAAATGGTTTATTAAAATGAAATCAAAGTAAGGAAAAAGATGGCATTAACATACAACTCCAAGGTGCAGACTTTGGCTTAGCTCAACTGCAATTCACTTAGATACTTTACTCTTATTATTCACAACCTTTATTGGTGTAAAATTAAGTTAACAGTTACCAGGATCAACTCCTTGGCTTCTCTCTGTTAGTTCCAAGTGGATACTTTTACTTCTCACGCATTACTGGTTGTACAAGACATTACCTTACATTACAAGACAAACTTACATTTGATACTTCACTAGACTGTTGTTAGTACAAATGAGATGCACTCACAACACACAACACGTTAATACTGATACCAACAAATTACATGGGTTCACTTCCCAACATGGGATAATTATATTCCAGATAATTATCCCCAAGCATATACAACAAACACTGTGGACCATATAACTTCCAGGAGTGTCCCAGGGTAGGACACTGGCGTCTCACAACTGACGACCGCTGTTATGATCGGTCTACTTCCCAGAATGCAGACTGGAGCAATGTGAATCCTGCCGAATCGGCGCCATCGTCCAAATATAGCTAACTGCTAGGTATCCACCGACTCCGGGCAGTCGGTGGGGTGTTCAAGTAACTCACACACTGGATCTGAGAACAAATGGTGGAGAGCGTCACGGGAAGCATGGTGATGACTCAATTACAACAATCTCTTGTCTGGCAACGACAGGTGACATTTTCATTACTAGTAATTCTCACACTGAGTAAATGACAATTTCACTGTCACAACATGAACACTGATACTCACAAAATTCACTAAGTCAAACTGAATGGCTATATCGGCAGGGAACACTGTCTTACATATCTGAGAACAAATGTTGGAGGGAGTCACGGGAAGGCCTCAGTTGACAAAGGTCTGGCGAATTACTTAAGTTGATTTACATAAACTAATTAGAGATTGAGCTTGCCAGTAGAAAGTGGAATAAACGTATTGACAACTGTGTTCACATGGGGACTTACGGAGAGGGATCCTTGGTGTAAAACACGTTTCTTCCTTGGGATGTTTTGCGAACGTGAAGTATAATGAGAATCAACAGTTTAAAACAGACCAGCAGTCAATGTGACCATGACACTTGGTGTGTTGCTGGCGTTGAATGAGGCAGTAATTTCATCCCAAGCCTTTCTTTTGCTATCATTTATTGTGTTACAGTACAAGTACACCTGTCCTCGACGACTGGCCTTTGCTCGATAAGGAGCAAAAGTGCTATGTGCTGGGTTACTAAAAGGGCTACAGAACGTTCTCTCCTCTCCATGTTTGATAACAACCGCGCAAACATTGTTGCCAAGTACACAGATGAAAAACGTAGCTGTAATTTGTTTCGAACAGATACTAAAGTTCAATTTGATAAAACAAAGATATTTTACAATATATTATTGTGCCGGTATAAAGTAACAACTAAATATCTCTCTAAACCGTCTTTCTAATTATGTGAAATAGTGTATATGGCACCCGCGCTTGTGTGGCCATATGACACGAACTGTAGTGTTTACACATGCTATATTCCTAGTTAACGGCTCATGAAAGCGACTAGAAATATGGCGCTCAGCGTTGGGTGGTTGTGTAATGGGCGGATTTCCCTTTACTTCATATTTTATCATCCAGATATTCTTTTGTTATTATTCTTCAATTCTTTATCTATATATACCTTATATTCTTGCTTATATTCTTATATAAGTAATTCTGATATTTCTCTGCTCATAGTTTCCAAGTCTTTCATTTCTTTTCATATAATGTAGCCTATATTATATTTTCTGAATTTATATGTCCTTACCTTGCTGAAGTATACTCTGTTTTATTATATTCTCAACCATGGATTAGTCTGGGAACCATGTTATTCTCAATACAACACTTATTATACTTACAACGGTAGCCTGCCACCACCCAGACTTTTATTAGAATATAACATATCCCACGGAAAGCTTTTGGGTAGTGTGATAGAGTGTTTATAGGCACGCGAGTATTATTTTCCGGGAACCAATGTTTAGAAGGAATAGAGTGGTGATACTCATAAATTACTAATTTAATATTTATTAACACAGCGAGTGAATAAGATGTTACTTAAATTCACTCAGACAAGACTGGACCCTCAGGTCTTACTGTACCAATCAAAAAATAGACCGGCAATCCATCATTAACCAACTATTAAGTTTATTCAGACAAGACTGAACCCTCAGGTCTTACTGTACCATTGACAAAACAGATCCGCAATTACTTATTTTTACTTTTATCCTCTTCGCCACTGATAGGCTTGTTAGCCGCTTGGGCGATCCGTCACGTCTCTTTTCATTTATATTCTTCACCAAAAGATCGGCTCGCTATTATATCATTAAGCAACTCCAAGTACTTATTATAACATTTAACAACTTCAATTACTCATTACTTCATTAGACAACTGTTGTATTATTTCTCTGACAAGTAAGATTCAGGAGTTACTACACACGGTCAGATAACACTGGGCCCTCAGGTCTTACTTTTACAAGTAACAAATTACATGTTCAATTCTTGGTTATAACATTATACACTCAGTTTATTATTTCATGGACAATACCGATAAATACATAACACACTAGACAAATTCCACAATTAGAGCAACATGCAATACATCCTGTTAGTTCGGAAGGAACAACATGGCACTTTTAAGTCTCATTCAGTGGTTCAATACTTAACCTGGGATACTATATTTCTGCTAGTTATCCCCAAGCATGGACCGATACTGCTCCATGCAAATAGCTCAGAACAATAGATGGACAACAATCACAAGACGGGGCAAAGTTGTTTACAGCGACCGCCAAGCTAAAGACTCGCTCGCTAGGAGCGCCCGGGGAGGGTTGACTCGTGGCAGTGTGTCGTCTATGGCGCCTCCCGAGGAATCTCGCCCTGGGATTCTAATCTCGCCACCTTAACGACAACCTTCGAGAGCCATCTTGCCCATAGGCGGCTCCCGAACCTCAGTAGTGTTGCCAACACACAAACAGTGCCTGGAGATGCTTTGAGGAGAAATCACAAGAGTCTGAATGTCTAACTTCAACTATACGAAACCTACGTCTGGCAATGCTACAGACGATATCTAGGTTACTCGACTTATTTGGCACAGAATATTACTATATTAACATGAACACTGATATTCACAAAAATAGACTAAGTTAAACTGAATTAACATGACGGCGAGAAACAATCATTCACATACCTGGAGATGCGTTGAGGAGAAATCACAAGTGTGAATTTTCCTCGTGCATTCGTATATATGTGAGCCTGGGGCACTTTGGCCCACGTATCCCTACCAGAAAGACTAATCTCACTAACAATAAACCTTCTATTCAAAGTGGTTGCTGGATACCTAGCTGTGACCGTCAGTGTCACAGGTCAGGCTAATTTTCTACGTCTATCTTCATGATCTAATCAGAGATTGAGTTTGTCAGGAAAGAGGTGAAATGGAGTTATATACGCACTAACAACTCTACTTGCCGGAAACCACAAACCACAGCCAGGGAGTTTCTTCCGTTAAGTCTTGGAGATTTTCAGTTTGACAGAATCTTTTCAGTAGATTAATGACTTTCTAAAATAGACAACTGACACTAACTAAACTACAAACATCAGATTCCCTGATGTTTGGGCGACAAAATAATATAACTTCAGTAGCGATTGGAAATTCAGGATATCCCCACGGACGACATAAAATATGCCACTCAAACTGACAAACTCGACACTCACTTACTTGACAAGTTTTACTATTAATATGGACAGTTGAAGCTTTCTACACCACTCACAATGGATTTTGAATGTTCCAACTGTAAACAGACATATCTAGGTTGCCTCACCAATTGCAACCACAGTTGCAATTTCAAATTCTGTCCTTACTAAGGAATAATGAAGTCTCGGGTACATTCAAGATTGAGAGAAAACGGAGGACTCAGGCGTCCTGAAGCGATGAGAAAACGGACTCCTCAGATGGGGAACTCCAATAAGAAAGCATAGCTACATGTTTTGTGGGCTATTGAGCGTAATATGAATTGTCTGTTTTTACGTTAACTGACGTGTATGACCGTAGTCATTACAATTGCATCCCGACACACGATGCATCGTGATGATGATCGTGATCGCCATTATCGTTGTAATGACTAGGAATCTGGCCCACAGTCTGACACACGGCGAGGGAGTTTGGGCCTAGTTCCCAGGGTGCTGACTCACAATTTAATTGTGCCAAATTAACGACATCCTGCGACAGCCAGCTGGCATGCAGCTACCGATTCCCGGTAGCTGCTGTGTATTCAGCTAACACCCACTCTCTCCCTGGAGATGCGTTGAGGAAGAGTCACGAGTGTGTTAAAATGGTCTAACTTCAACTATACATAACATACGTCTGGCAACGATACTTACGTTACTTTAATTATACTTGGCACACAATCATTTCACTATGTTATAACATGAACACTGATATTCACAAAATTCATCTGAGTTAAACTGACTTTACATGGCGGGGGGAAATAATCGTTCACATACCTGGAGATGCGTTGAAGAAGAGTCACGAGCGTGTGAGTCTTACTCGTGCATTCGTTTATATATGGGCAGCTGGAAACTGAGGCTTGCGCAGGCATGCCAGAAGGCTAATCTCACAAACGACAGAAATTTGATTCAACTCAGTCGCTGTACATTCAACTATGTAAATCGGTGTAATGGATCAGGTGAAATTCTTATGTCTATTTTTATAATCTAATCAGCGATTGAGCTTGCCAGTAAAAAGGTAAAATAGGCATCCAATACACACGCTGTTAACCTTAGTTTCACAAACTCAGAGGGATTTCTAGACAAGGAGCCTCTATGGGTCTACGTTGAGATCTTGGAGATAAGGAGTTTGACATGTTCTTCTCAGGAAATTAATGACTTTCTTAAATAGATAACTGATAATAATCAAACTGCAAATATCAGATTCTCTGAGGTTTGGGAATCAAAATAATCTGACTTCAGTAGCAATTGGAAACACATGGCCATCCCCAAGGATGACATCATGAGATGCCATTCGTACAGGCAGACTCGACGCTCACTTACTTGACAAGTGTTACTACAATAAAGACAGTTGAAGCTTTCAACATCACTCACAAAGGATCTTGAATGCTTTAACTGTAATCAAACATATCTAAGTTGACTCAAAACAATGGTGTTTTCTCTCACATTCAAATTTACTTTATAGGGAGGTTGGTTTCAGGAAGTCAGAGAAAATGGACGGCACCTTAAGCCAGAGAAAATACGTTTCCTCCTAGGGATAACTCGCCAGTTATCCATATGTTTTGCGGGTATGGAGCATAATATGAATGATCAGGTTTCAAACAGACCAGCAGTCATTGTGACCATGACAGTGTCATGATATTAATGACGGCTATTCCTGTTGAAACCTAAGGATTCATATTACGCTTACACGTACACAAAACCTTCTGAGTCCCCCGGTGGAAATGTCCTTCGTTCTCTCTGTTTCCTTGATGACGTCATCGAGATGTCTGTTTGTTGACCGAAGTTGTAAACTCTTTCTGCTACCGAGACCCTGTAAACCTTTTTTCACCTGTGAATATCAGAGACTCTGATAATCATAGCGAAATTGTGGTAGGGAGGTTAACTAAGGAATTAGTTAATACTCCTGAAGGGAACTTTTAAACTTCCTCCCCGGGTTTGTAGCAAGGCGTTGCGTGTTGGGACCTGTTGCCATCCAACCTTTTGTGATCAATTTAATTCTTGCTTTTGATAGCTCAGTCAGAGCATTGTTTGTAAAGATAATAGTAGGGAATGAAACTGAGTTCGTTGTCTCAGTTTCAAACGTCAGAGTGTTACAGTAACGTTATTCAGTGAAATGGTTAAGTAGGTGGAATCTTGTGACTTTTGCGTGGGTGGAAGGCGGCGGTTCGTTTTCATCAGTAAGCCGCCATGCTTCCCAACCACAGGTAGGTCATTCCACCTTCTCTGTGTTGTAACTCGCCATTTTTAAGTGATTTAACCTAATTGATAGTTTGATTGTACAAGTGTTACAGTAACGTAGTTAATGTGCTTTGAGTGAAGTATTTTATGTCCTTAATGTCCCTTTGAAACGTTGAGGTTCGTTATTAACGGTCAGTAAGCCGCCACGCTTCCCACCCACAGGTCCCTATTACAGCCTAGCCCGTGTCTGTAGCGTGGATGACGCATCCACTAGTCTGGGGAGATGTCTGAGGTCCAGTAAAATCGGTTATCCCCGTGAACCACGACCGGCAGAAGCTCCACTACCACCTATGGGCCCCATAGCTGGCCAGTATTCCCCCTAACGCTATGCCCACGTGGTGAACCCGGATCATCAAGCCTCACAAACAACTGCCAGCCCCATCATTGGTGGATGAGTACAGTACATAACTCAGTAGGGCTATTTGTGTGGTGGTGTTATCCCACCGGAATTATCAGAGTTTGTTGGAAGGTGTCACATGGTGATGAGACTCCCATGGCGGCAGCTGGAGTATTGCCCCTGGGGTATTGAGTGTTGTACTGGCAGGTGCCACTGGTTTTAATGGTGCTAAGGAGCTGTGAGAGTTTGTGTGCTTTGGTGTGTGTACACCCAGTAGTGGTGCAAGTAAATTGAGCCTGAGGGCATGGTACCAGGAGTTCCTATTTTGGGTGCATACATCGTCTTTTCTGTAACCATTTTTGTGTTTTAATAAACATTGTATTTGTATGTTGGGTCTATGATTCACCTATTGTATTCATCATTGTTCTTTCCCAAATGCTCGATGCTATAATTACATGTACCCATGGGCCTTCCTCTCGCGTCACGCTACCAGGTCAGAGTATTAACATAAGTTATTGTAAGAGTGCCAAGCCCTTAAAGGGAGGCAGCTTGTGTTGCGCGCTCTTACAACAGTGCCTCCAGTAGCCAGAGCAAGACCGATAGTGATGGAAGCATGAATGGGGAGAATGAGCCCCAGACTACCAGCGTGGTCTCTTTAATAACCCCAGGTCTGAAAACTGTCTATAACCCTATACTTCCAATATTTTCGGAGGAGGAACTCAAGGGACTAATGAAGGAACCTGTGTATAAAAATCCTACTGGAATAAGGGCTGTGAGACGTATTATCAAGAACTCCGGGGGTGATGAATTTGAAAAGATTAACTTATTGGTCAGATTGATCTATGAAGCCAACAAACACAACCCTCTATACTCAATTCAAGGTGGAACGAGTAACACAAACGCTTAGGTCCATTTCATGGAACATCCGGAGTGTTAACCGCAGAATTAATGGCCTACAATGGTTTGCTAAAGTTTATAACATTGCTGTAATTGGTTTACAGGATAGCTGGGTTTACAGCATACGATAGTGGAGCAGGAAGTGGCCTGTTCACTTATGTAAAGAATGGTCTGGTCTGTAAATGGATCATAACCCACAATGATGAAAGTATTCATTATAAAAAATTTACAGTAAAGGAAGCAAACAGTCAATTTTCGCTTTATAACATCTATGTTCGATGTAATGAGATACGAGCTGACGTGTTACCAAAGCCATCAGGTAACACTGCTATGGGGGCCTTCAACTCTCGTCACACTGTCATTGGTGATGTCCAGTGTAACTCTAATGGGAAGGTGTTCGTGAATTACATCAATAATCATAATATCACTGTATACGACACAGACGAAGTGACACATCTGATGGGGGGCAGGCTTGATTATGTGATTGGGTATAACCTAGTAGACATTAATGTCAAGGCTAAGGTCATCTCAGACCACCTAGTCAGTGATCATTATGCAATACTTACTGAATACACTGTTGCAGATGTCAAGTGTGAACTCAATCCTAAGCTCAGAATTAACATCCCAGATAATCTTATACTGCACTTCAAGGTCTACATCCACAGATGGTATGCTGGATATACACCTGGGTCAGTGGATGAATTTTGCTGTGATCTTGCAAATGTCATTACCACATATTATGCCACCTGGGTTAAGTCAAGGAGGAAAGGGGCAGCACTAAACCACCTCTGTGGACACATGACCCCATCTTCATCAAAGAAGGAGAGAATGTGGGGTTTCGTGATGTTGGTTCTCACTCAGGATGGGTTGGAGAAAGGAAACTCACAATGCACTCTCTGTATACATATTGTATTGGATGTACAGTGCAGCTTGGTGCTGGGAAGTGACAGCGTGGTTACAAGCGTGGAGTAGAGAGAGCTGGTTGGTGAGGGTGCTCAGAGGAGGTGTTGCTTGCTGCGAGGCTGTAAGTAGAAGAAGAAGGGGCTGGTCACGGCGAGGTGAGGTCTTATATAGCAGAGGTAGGCGTGACTTGATAGTTGACCTCCGCCTTGTTAGGCGGCGCTGGTTGCTGACCTTAGACCACAAGGCGTAGGCTGGGGAATTCGAAGAGGGGTCGGCTAGTCAGCGACAAACGGCAGTTGTAGTTGCAGGGGAGATATCTACTACAAGAAGGTAGAACAGCTTGCCAACACTTATAAGCAAAATAAAACTAGTGATAACCTCCTGGCATTCCTCAAAACTAACAGAGAATTTCGTGAACTCAAAGGTCAGGTGAGAAACACCTATTGGGAAAAATTC